GAGACTTTGCTAGGCGAGCGTCTCTGGCTTGCGAGGATAGAAGCATGGTGTGCTCTGAAATCCAGTCTTTCTGCTTCTTGGATGTGGTACCCAAATGCGACATTGAAGCTTTAGAGACTACTTCTTTGAAATGATTCCATCGTGTCTCGGGTGTATTAGAAGATGTGGATGTTGGTTCATCTGCGGCGCTTAGTTCGGCCTGGATTTGTTTGGACAAGGCTTGTCGTCTTGTAGAACATTGAAGCGGGGCAACATTGATACGCTTCGGAGGTCGCGCCTTCTGGCGTGTCGTTAAACGAAGTTTGAATTTCGCCCTAACTAGAGTATGGTCTGATCCCCCTTTATTTCCGGCCTCTGCTCCACGATAGGATCGACAGTCTTCCACCGAGGAGATCCAGCGTGAGCGCACTAGGATGTAGTCGATCTGATGTGCAGTGCGACCGTCGTTCGAATACCAGGTGAGAAGATGTTTTCTGGGGTGTTGAAATCGAGTGTTGGTGATATATAATCGATTGTAATCAGAAAAAGCTAAAAGTCTATCACCATTACGGCAGCGCTGATCGAGACCGTGTTTGCCTAGTATATGTTTTGTCGCGTCGTCTGAAGGGCCAGTGCGGGCGTTCCAATCGCCGGCTACTATGAGAACGTCACGCTTTGGGATTTTGTTGATTGCCTCTTGAAGATTGTCATAAAATTCGTCTTTGATACTTTCATCAGAGTCGAGGGTTGGGGCATAGACAGCGAGAACAGAAATGTCGAGCGGGGAACCCTTGAACCTAGCGACTGCAACTCTGGAGTTGACCGGTTCGAATGATATTAGGGCATTATTGGCTTTGTTACTGAGAGCAAATGCTACCCCATGTTGTCCCGAATTATTCTGGGGTCCACTATGAAGCAACCAGAATGAAGAATCTGTTCCAGGAACGGCTATTCGGCGGGAGCCATGATCGGGTAACCTCACTTCAGATAGACACGCTATGTCTACCTTGTAGTCATATAAAGAACGCATGGTGATAGACTGGCTACCAGGATCCAACAGCGTCCTAACATTCCAGCAGCCAACAAATAGTTGGTTTCTAAGTGTTAATTTCCCAGCTAGCTTACTTTTCACACTGGCCACCGGGTGAGCACAGGGCGCGTCGCTTACCGGGAACGCCGTAGCATGGTGAGAGTTGTTTGTAGGAGAGTTCATGAAGTGCGTCGGTGGCACAGTGCTTAGGACTCTCGCCGACCATGCACATGGTCCGGGGTTCGAGCCCACGCCGGCGCACACCAGATATCTATGGTCGGCCTGCGAAATTTGGGCTACCGATATCCATACTGAAAATTCCATACTTGTATCAAAAATACAGTGTGGAATCAAGCTGTAAATCAAAAATCAAAAAAAAATCAAAAAAATCAAAGTTTCTTGGGAATTTGGTACGAGTGATGTCCCCAGCATCGCGATAACAGTAGCACTTAAGTAGACACCAACTATAACGGACGATTCTAGTTATATTTTAAGAAGTAATAGGACTATTTCATTGTATCCATGGGAGACCTATTAAAGAGTCGCCTATAGAGTGAAAAAGAACTGATGAACAGCACGCGAAAAAGTAACACAGCCTTCGAATTGCCGCGGTAGTAAAACGTAGATGTGAAACGTAGAAAGCATCGTTGGTGAATTTCCCCCTTATAAAATCTGTACAAGGAGAAAACGAAAAAAGAAACGCAGTGATTCACTAATTTACATTCCCTGAAGGACCAACCGCCGTCCCATACCACAGGACACGACTTAATGCTTCCTCCTGTATTTTGCAACGTAAATGAGTGGTAATATAACCTTTCACGGAGGACGAAATGAGTTAGCGAAGCCGTATATAAGATAGTTGCTGAGAATTGCGCCAAAGGCACGCACGCAAACGTGTCAACAATAAAAGTGATTATACAGTAAGTAATCCGCAAAGTTACTGAGACAATTAGCCTGCGCGACGAGGAGCTTCTACATAATATAAGCATAGGATTTTATGCACATCGGCCTTCCGTATACATAACTAATCGGAGTATTTTGCCTATTTCCACTCGGACCACTCCCGATTTTCAATAAGATATTTTTTATTTATTAAATGAAAAATGAAAAGGTTTTGGAGGCCCCTTTATGATGTAAACCTGAAGAGTTTTTTCTACAGTACATTGCCTGGAAAAGTTGCGATGTCCCTTTCTGAAAGAGTACCAACGTGTTAATTACTCCAAATAATTGAAATTATCTCATATTTATCTGTATTACTTTCATCTTGAAATCAAATCGATTGGGTGGTTTACTTTTGAAAAGACAACAGCAATGGCACAGGACAAGACATTGACCTCATTGCTATATACCGCAGTCCTGACTGCGTTGCAGATGACTTCCCAGTAGAGGAGCTCGGCTCCTGGACTTCGAAATGTCAAAGTCTCGTAGTCGGCGACTTCAAAGCCCCAACAGTCGATTGGACGGGCCTAACAACTTCATCTTCAGTCAACTCCTTTGATCATAAACCGCCGGAATCTAGTATACCACTAGCTATAGCGCAACATGTCAACAAACCCATGCGCTATGACTCACAGCACTCTTCCTCAACTCTGGACCTATTGTTCTCCCACAGTGAGGATGTGGATCTCATACAACATATTCCTCATTTAGGAAGTGATCATGCTGTGCTCACTTTCAAGTTCACAGCAACAGCGGCAAGGGCCAAAACTCCAAGTCGACCAAACGTTTGGAAAGCTGATATAAATCCGATCGTTTCAGCAGCCAATTCAGTGAACTGGTGCATCAACCCAGAGTCCCAAGTAGGAGCCCAATGGAACTAATTTAAACAACTGAACCGTTTATGCCTTGATCTGTCCCAAAGGGTCGGAAACATTGCCCCCCTTGGATAAAACGAGTGATCCGTGAGTTACTCAGGCGTAAATATAAATGTTGGAAGCTGTTTGCCACACCCGAGACCCCTGAGACCAGGAGATTAGATAACACCGCTAGAAATAAAGCTATTGCGGAAATCCAGGAATCAAGGATGAAGTTCAAAGCATATCTGGCTCAAAATTCAAAGGCACAACCTAAGAAAATTTTCTCTTACATGAACTTCAGGAATAAAACATCCAATGGTGTCCCAAACCAGATTATTGAGAATGACACATTCGAAGAAGATCAAGAAAAAGCAGAAGCAATGGCAGAAAACTTCCCCCGAGTCTTCACACAGGGGTTATTACTCCATGTAGGACCAGTCCTGGCTGCATCAGAGGAATACGGGGTAGAATCCGTTGACTTCGACCAAGGCATCGTGCCCAACTGGGTCCCGATAATCTTCATCCAAGGCTTCTCAAAGAGCTATCAGCTTACATAGTTGGTCCATTGACCGCGATCTTCAAGCTGTCTCTCCTAAATGGAGTGTTACCGCTTAACTGGAAAGACGCCATACTAACCCCCATCCACCAAGGAGGATCAAGACAAAGCCCTTCAAATTACAGGCCGATCAGTCTCACCAGTACCTTAGTCAAGACACTGGAAAGAATCATCAAGAAAAGCAACATGGCGTAGAAAACAGCAGCTTGTTATCTAGAGCACAGCATGGCTTCCGAGGAACCTCTCTTGCCTGTCAAATCTCCTCACTGCGAGAGAAAGCTGGTTCACTTCAAGGGACAGCAGAAGACTCGTTGACGTTGTCGTGTTCATAGACTTCAGCTAAGCCTTTGATAAAGTACTTCACAAAAGACTACTCATGAAGTTGGAAAGTCTTGGTATCAAAGGCAGATTACTAAAATGGCTAAGGGAATTCCTCACAGATAGGAGGCAGAGGGTTAGGATCAACTCGAAACTCTCCTCTTGGACAGCAGTACGTAGCGGAGTGCCACAAGACACGGTACTCGGGCCTCTCCTATTTATTTGTATATCAGTGAGTTATCCGTGTTCACGGACTCCCCCATAGCCCTATACTCAGATGACTTAAAAGTTTAGAGAGAGCTGAAGGGCAACAGTGATATGTTCACGTTGCAAGAGGACCTCAACAAATTGTCAGGGTGCTACATAGAAAGGATGCTCGCGATCAATGTAGCAAAATGTGTAGCCATGCGCATCAAACAAACAAGCATCAGCTCCCACGAACTAGAGGGAGTAACAATCCCATCAGTTCAGAGTCACTTGAACTTAGGCGTCATAGTTAGCAACGACTTAGAAACTACAGCACACTGTCGCGCAATGGCTGCACGTAGTTTCAGGTCCTTATGGGCAATTCGCAAAGCCTTTACCAGAATCACCAGAGATATGTTCACCTCCTTACATACATCTCTGGTGAGGTCAAGACTATAAATCTGTATCCAGGCATCCAATCTTTGCCTAAAAGGGGTCTCACACATTCTAGAAAGGGTTCAAAGGAAGGCAACACGTATGGTTCTCGGTATGACTAATTTATCATACGAAGAAGGATTAGATAGTTTAAATCCCTTCTCCCTGTCATATCGCAGGCACAGAGGAGATTCAATCACAGTGTTTAAAATTTTAAATAATGACTACGGACCTGACCTATTCTCTCTTTTCCTTTCCACTAGGTCGGAACTTTTTAGAGGACATAGCAGAAGAGTTCAAAAGCCAAGAAGAAATCATATTGCTGTTGAGTACTGGTTTTCAGACCGAGTCATAAACTCTTGGAACTGACTCCTAGAAGAAGTGGTAACTGCAACCTCAACTGATTCGTTCAAGAAGGGTTTGGACAACCACAGAAATCTACTAGAAAAGGATTAACATAGGCTCCAAGCCTTCTATCCTCAGCCAATAAATCTGAAATCTGTATGTCAAAAACAAAAAGCTTGAATTAGGGCTCAGAGTAAAAGATTTTTGTTCTGCATTATCATGGCTCCTAGAATGGAACCACATAATTATGTGTTCACCAAAATGCATCTAACATTGTTTAGTTGTGTGGGCCTGCTTCAAGGGTTCACATCGGTGAGAGCGCGCTTTAGGTTTTTGTCACGCAAAACAGTTTGTAATGAGGTACGTCCATTTCAGGGGGTTTTCACACTAAATCTATTGAGAATATCTACCAATTTGTGCGTAAATTGAGTTCTACGAATCCTTTGCTACGTCCCTGTGAAGGTGATTATCCAAATAAATGCCCGTCAATGTGCCATGGCACTAAGGTTTCTGCGGGAAGTTCACACAGACAACCTAGTAACTGGAGGTACAACTGCTGTCCTAGCATATTGATTTAAGTGCATTGTGGTTCTCTGAATTTCTGAGACGGACAGTATTCTGGTATCATTAAATTAACTACTTAGTCCAATCCAGTTGAAATGACCAACCGATTTACTGCAGATATGGCTGTTCACAGTTCTGGGAGTCATATGTGGACTTCACTCCTGTTCTGAGTAATCTGGATTGTAACAGTGACTTTGGATACTGTCTGTATGACCCGAGGAGAATGACTGGCTTATGTAACGTTATTGTGACCTGCCAAACACGATTTGATATATTTGAGCATTCCCTGAAAAATTCAAGTTTGTTCATAGCTGTTCGGTTAGGAATGACACTTAACTCCAGACCTTGAAGCTCTCCATGTAGCAAGTATCTCATCTACTATGCATTGAGGACGATAAACACAAGTTAATTCGAATTCATATTTGCGATTATTGGCTATATCTGATTTGCTTGAGAGAAACTTTCCAAGTACTAGTTTCCGGGGCACTTTTGTGTGGAAACTGATTATTGATGCCACCTAGTCTCTAGTATTTGTTTCGTAACAGTAACAGAATACCCGCTGTGTTAGAGTTAGGTATGCCGGTAGAACTGTGTTGTTTGACAGCTGTCAACAAAGATTTTATTCCATACCATACGTACGTGGACTTACTACTGTATGGACTGTAAAGGATATTGATATTCATACCCCTGTGCTTTTTCGGTGTTGCCTCTGTCATCAAGACATTCATGTTTCAATCCAGTCCATTGGCTACTTTTATTATAATGTCCAGGTGTGGATATAGACTTCTCCATAGCAGGTGTAAGGTCCGTCTTTGTTTGGAAGCTATTATACTTGGGATTTTCATTTAGTAAGTCATTTATTTTCATTAACAGTCTTAGGGATCTTACTTAGAATGAATGAACTTACATTGAGACATCTCTAGGGGATTTCCTCAGAAGCGTGCGATCATAGCCTCCTGCTAACCCTCGCTGCTGTGTCGTACTTAGAAGTTTTACGTACCAGTAACCTTGTCGAAAATCTGCTGGTAGTCTAGTGTCACAGCTCATCATATTAGGCATTCGAACTCCAGTTAGTTGATCGTAATTGCGCGTCTTGATCTATCTATTAGAGTTTAGTCAAGCTTATTGCCAATTGCTTTGACGTGTATGTAGTTGTTGAGTGACTTGCAGCCTAGATCAGCTTGTCGATTTCAGTTTTTACTCATGTGTAAACTCCAGAGGTAGCCAAATGGTTGATGGCTGAATATATTCCATGTTACGGTAAGTTCAGATTTGGCCGCATCTTCGTGCACCCTGAAGCATACCCACTACTAGTAGAAATGTGACCGTTTGGCTTAAACTCTCAACCTCAAACCAGTAGGTATTCAGTATGGATTCAGCCAGGAAAACAGAGTGGTATTGTCAGCTACACGAGTGCGATTCATTCTAATACATAGGAAATAACGCATTTGAGGTGTAAATAAAGTCAAGTTCGCCAGCTACATGTTTTCACATATCATTTTGGGGTTTGGTAAAGGGTTATAGAGTTATTTGTAGGGAGTTATGAGACTTAAGACTGTGGTTAGATGAAATTCTTCATCAGTGATTCATAGTTTCACTTATTTTGCATATTTCCATAACTAAGGACCAGTGACTAAAAGACTCCGGAAACTTTATGCAAGTCACTTTGGTAATAGTTCGTGGTCTATCGGCTTGTTGCCTTGGTGTATCAATGCCTGATTTCATTACTACATACCCTATTGATGCTCTTGTGGGCGAGTCAGCAGAGACGTATTTGGATAGCTATACTCTAACATTATCATAATACAGATTTTTAACAATTGACTTGTTGCTCGTCTTAAAGGCTTCGTCTAGTTATTGATGAACTTGCAACGTTAATTTCCGTGTGCAGTGGGTATTTTTTTGGCGCCACAAGCTCATTGTCTTACTTGGGCTTGCTCACTCTATATTAGTAAATTTTTCGGCAACTTTCTCATCTGAGATAAACATCAATGGCAATAATAAAATACCGATCCCTTAGCAGCTTAGATCGCTTCGTCAAACAAAAAGGCATGATTTGTTCAGATGTGTTCAAATCCAATATTTGATAATGACAGTAAAATAGTGTCATTCATCAATCATATGAATGCGCTTGGTGATGGGTGATTCGATGAATGGATTGAACTTTAAGTCTGTAACCCATTAGTTAGAAGTTAAGTACTTAGTCATGTGAGCCACATCACAAAATCCTTGATATGATTAAAGTTAATCGTTGTTACGAATAACAAACATTCTTATACATCCTGTTTTTTATAATTTGTTTTTAAAAAGAGCAGCGAATATTCTAACTCACTAACAGCTAGACTGTTCATGCATTCGTGTCATTTCTTTTGTTTCTAAGGCTTAATGGACAAGAGAAGATCATTATGGAGAAATTTTAGGATGATCAGACCTAAGTATAATATCAACCTATGCAATTACTAACCTCTAGTCTAAGCCATGTCTATAGGTGATCGCCTAACTGATATTTGTGAAATATCAAGAACCAGTAGGTATAGACAGTTAAGCGGCTCAGAATGTTTCACAATAGCACTGATGTATCCATTTTTGGTCATCTCGCTTCTAGAAGTTTTCATAGTTCTGTCGCCTTCACATACTGTTACCATATTTCTATGCTTTGTGTGTTCTGCGTTAAAGTTTGACATGTTGAACTTACACATTTTTTGTAAACTACATTCATTTGCCAATCAATATATATTTCTTTGAACCACATTACGGACGTCTGAAAAAGCATTTGCAATTATCAAATTCCACAAGGTACCACACCTATTTTGTGTGGTCGATTACAATGCACCTCGAACGTCAGTAGGTAGATTAGTCACCATATTGGTATTAAGTTTGCCTAGTAGGAATATGTATGTGCTTTGTCAGATCATATTCAACAAACTTTCCAACTCACTTACTTGGGTACTTAAATTTCAGCCACTGGGTTTTGAGTTTAAATATACGTCAGCTCAGGCAGCTAAGTAGTAACAGCGTGCATCAAGTGTGGTTCATGACCCGTCGCATGGAAAATTAGTTCCAAGTAACTAGGTTACGACAACACGCGCTTGCTCGAATAAAAGTTTACCAGTAGTTGGGGCGTACTTTCAAATATTTGAAATCCAATTAGCAAGCTGAAATCAGCCATATGGTTTCGTGTTTTCATTTTTCTTATCGTAAAATCTTAACCTTGTTGCTTGTTCTCTGTTTACATCTTTCATCTTTGGACGACATTTAGCACGCATAATTGCTGAGTCAGAAGTAATGGGAATATATTTGTTACTATCCGTCATAAGTATATATCTGTGAACTAAGCTTCCTGTCATATGTTTTCACAAAATAGCGATTGTTATGGCAGAAAGTTTACTCTAATCCACATATCCATCATACATGTTTTCAGCGGCAGCCACCTATTTTATCTTAAAGTGTTGCATAATTTTCGACTGAATGAAAACTTCCTATCGGACATTTGTTCTATTATAAATGTTAAAACGCTAAGTTGTAACTATACCTTACATCTCCGGGATATTCGTTTCGCAATAGCCGTAGACTTCTAGCATTACTTCTTAGTGATCTAAAATGTGTGATGAGTGATTTCACTTGTGTAATAGGTGCTTCTAAAAACACGTTCTAGGTGAAAAGTAAGTTACTAATTGTTAGGAGTGTTGCAATTGGAAAGTACCCCACGTAGTTGTAGTATACCTCCTAGTCGTTGGCATCACTCAAACGGTCTTGATTAACTGTATACTCATATTTTTGTCAATTTCCATTCTATTTGCAGCAATTCTGTAGATGATTCAGAGATCGAAACAAATTATCATGAAATTGTCGATGGATTCGATAAGATGGGTTTGAAACCAGAACTCCTCCGTGGTATATACAATTATGGTTACGAAAAACCATCGGCTATTCAGCAGCGGGCTATCAAACCCTGCATTGACGGTCGTGATGTCATTGCCCAGGCTCAATCTGGTACAGGAAAAACAGCCACTTTCGCTATAAGCATTTTGCAAAGAGTAGATGTCAGCTCGAATGCTTGTCAAGCTCTTGTTTTGGTTCCTACCCGAGAACTTGCCAGACAAATCCAAACGGTTGTCAAAAGTATTGGTGCTTATCTTAATGTAAAGTGTCATACATGTATTGGTGGCACAAGCACCACTGAAGATGTAGCTTGTCTTCAACAAGGTCAACATGTTGTTGTTGGTACACCGGGTCGTGTTTTCGATATGATGAGCCGTGGTATTCTAACAACAGCTGGCATCAAAATTTTTGTACTGGATGAAGCAGATCAAATGTTGGATCGTGGTTTTGAGGCCCAAATTAAAGAAATATATCGATTTCTACCCGAAAATGCCCAGGTAAAAAAGTCTTTTCAGTATTAATAAAGAAAAACAATAGATTATGTTGTTATCTGCTACTATGCCAAAGCAAATACTATCAATTGCACGTAGTATCATGCAAGATCCTGTTCAGATATTAATCAAAAAAGAAGAATTAACTTTGGACGGTATTAAACAGTTTTACATCAACGTCGTCAAAGAAGAGTTCAAATTGGAGACTTTAATGGATTTATATCGTGTCATGAATTTGAGTCAAGTTGTCATTTTTGTCAACTCTGTACGAAAAGCTTCGGATTTATATGCCCAACTAGTGAATCGAAAATTCGAAGTTTCTTGCATCGTAACTTGTCTTATTAAATAAAATACTAAATTCTTTCTACCCCTATAGAATAGTGACATGGATCAGAAGGAACGTGATCGAGTTATGAGTGAATATCGTAATGGTGCATCACGTATTCTACTGTCAACTGATGTTTTGGCACGTGGTATCGATGTACAGCAAGTCTCTTTGGTCGTTAACTATGATTTACCTAGTAATCGTGAAACTTACATTCACAGGTCTGTTATGCTTTTTATTATAATCTAATATTTATCTTTATACAGAATCGGTAGAGGAGGTCGATTCGGTCGTAAAGGAACAGCCATCAATTTTGTTACTGAAACAGAAATGGAAGCACTCAGCGACTTACAACAATACTTCAATACAGAAATCCTTGAGATGCCTACTGATATTGTTGATTTCATGTAACTTTCACCCACCTGCCCTCACAACAATAAAAAAACTCTAAGCCCACCTCTATATATTTTATATTTGTTCCTAGCGAAACGAGTTGAAGTTTTTCTTGCTGGATATCTGGTCACTAATTCTTTGTGTTTTTCCATCTAATTTATCCTGCTCTTATCCCATCACTCTCTCTCTCTCTATCTCTGTCTCTTTTTGAGCATCATTGCTCTTGATTCTTCAATTTGTTCATTAGGGTTCTTAATTGGGCAATAAAACAGAATTTACATACTGTGGATTTACATGTCTGTTGTGTTGTTGTTATTTCATTTCATATTTGTAAATTATTCACAGTGGTGTTTTTATTGCATCATGTCTGTGTGTATGTGCGTGTGTTTATCTTCGACCTAGTAAGCTGAGAAAGCACATGGTAAATGCATTTTGAGTTGTGAATGGTCATGCCCCCGCTCCCAAGTTTCTAGGGTTGAACTGAAGTATAGCTATTCAAGGGGACAACCAGCTAAATAGCCGTCAACAAGCGTTATTTCGCTAGCGAATTTTATAGTAAACGAATTACGTAATGCTAAACAGTCATGCAGGATAGCTATCTCCAGAAATATGTCTCAGCTTGTCATTTGGAGGCCTTAATGTTGGTCCAGACCAATTTATGGGATGACTGTTATGCATCGTGTCACTTCACTCGAATCCTGTTTTTCAAGAGCCCCCAGAATTCTATGGAATGCGTATACATATGATCTAGCGGAACAAGGAAATCAAGAAAACGATTGACAGTTGTGAATATCACCGGATTTGGATAACCATTTCATTCCGACGGTCACAAAACGGATTATTGGCATTAATACACTTGCATCATGGAGTCAGGGATGAGTTCTATAGATCTTTTCGGTGAACTTATGTATATTAGAACCAGACACTATTATTATATTATTGTTTCCTTTACTTCTTAGAGGGACATAGGGCTTCAATCACACGTCTCCATTGTGTTCGGTTCTCTGCCAACGTTTTCATCTGGCTCCACGTCTGCCCACATGCTTTTATCTCCTCTTCATATGACTTCCTCCATCCAACCCTTACATTGACAGCCAACTCACCGCTTCCCTTTCGGGTTCCACTTGGGCGATGGCCTGTTATGTGATGCCACTTGACTATTTTCTCAGGGCATGGCTAATCCACCTCCATTTCCTCCTACATATTTGTTCCACAATTGGTTCCTGGTTGGTTCCTTCCTAGAGGTCCCTCACTTTTGCTGATCTTTTCCGGTCATTTGATCCTGATTATTGAGCGAAGACAGCTGTTGATGAAGGTCTGTAGTTTGTTTGAGGTGTTCTTCATGACACCCCAAGTCTCTGATCCATGGAGTAGCACTGACTTCACATAGGAGTTGGAACTCCGGATGTTATTTTTCATGGTGAGTGCTGTTGACCTCCACACATACTTGAGAGTAATGAGAGCTTGCCTTACTTTCCCGATCCTCGCTTTGATATCCTCATCAGTTCCGTGAGTCTGTAGTTAAAACGATGCTTCCCAGGTGGATAGGTAAAGGAGGTCGCTTCTTTCAGATTTCCCCCATTTATGCTGATTGTTGTCTGTTGGTGTTGGCCAGGAATCTTCATCACCTCTGTTTTCTCTATGTTCACCTGAAGGCCTATTTTGGTTGCTTCTTCTGCCAGAACCAGACATAAGCAAATAATATTGTTTTCAATTAAATCTTCAGGTTTTGCCCTTATATATGTATGGTCGCAATGTCCATGTCTAATTTGTTCCAGATCATTTAGCTAACCGTCCTCTTGGACTTTTGTACTTTCGCTTTGCCGATTCCAGGGTGTAAGCCACCTTTTAGACATGAATAACGCATTATTTTATTGTAATCCTGAGCATTTTATTAACATTTATAGCTAACTAAATCAGGTTCAAATCAAAGCCCAACCTTTTGTCGTCTTGAGATATTTTATGTGTATGACAGTTAGACGAAAAGATCAGTTATGCTGATTGAACATGATAACTATTCAACTGTAACATGATGTAATGTCACAGAAGGTCACTACTGGAAATGCTAACTTATCAAAAGATCGTTCATGTCCTAAAAAGATACCGAGTTCTAAGTGCAAGAACATTACTTCCGTCCTTAAGGTGTTTCAAACCCATCTAACCAGAAAGCTACTTGTAGAGGGCTTCTTCACAGTATTGGCCCCGGCGGAACTGCCTGCAAATTGTCCGTACACCTCTGGTATGATTAATGTATTTTATTTCCAGGGGGTGACATGTAACTTTATCGGGGCATCTCTAATGCACCCTGTCGTCTGCAGTCTTGTTTAGTTGACTCCACGATTGCCCACAAGCTCTGATTTCGTCCACAAACGATCTCCTTCATATCACTCTCGAAAGCCCAACTGAACAGTGATGTCATTCAACAGTCTCCTCACTGTATTTCTAGTCGATCTCCATTTCTGTCGGCAGGTTTTTTGGTTCGTTGTTGCTTATCCCCTCTGGCCATGTTACCTTCAGTATATATATGGATTACTTATGCTGTTAACTGGTCATGAACGACATCATAGTTGGATTTGTTGGGAAATCTGCGTTCTGTAATGCGTTTTAAATTGTTATGAAGATTTCCTATCGATATTAAATAAAAATGTCATGATGGATTATTTATTTGATAGATGTAAAATGAATATCTCGCAAATTAAAGTCTGTGTAAATTTAAAAACGTTTATGACTACAAGTTTTTGGAATGTCAACAATTGATGTATGACAACAACCAGGTCTTCATGTGCTTCAAGTTAATTGGTTCGCCTCGTACAACCTTGCGAATTATTATTGAAGTTTTCGATGAGACGTCTGGTCGCAAAAGACATCATAAGAAAAAGGTAGAATCTGCCAGAAATTTGAGAACGGACTAATTGCATTCACCTAAATAAAGTACTGAATGCTATGATTTCAGAAGTCTTAGCATAATCAATCTGGAGATGATGAGCTATAAATGCCGTTCAATTTAAAATCACACAGAGCAAATATTGTTTGTTTTCTTTTTAGTGTATATAGCTAATGATAAGGGAGGCTGAATTCTGTTGGCGTTTATTCGAATGTTCTGCATTAGCGCATATACACTAACGGTAGGATATGAGTTAAAATATAAGCGATATGTGGTAACTGGAGTGTAGGTAACAATGGTTAAATAGTCTGATTTAGCCGCTTTTACTACTAACAGACTAGCGATACTTTTATGTGAAGCCTTCTCAAACGCATATATGTCAAAAGGGTTGCATCTTGTCATCAACAGCAAGTGGAATAATTAAGGATACCTTCGCATAACTGACCAGTTAGTTGACAGGCGATCACGTTAGACACATGTCTGGAAGCCTGTTCATCATTCAAATGTAAGCGGATAATAACTGCCTGGAAAGCTATTGTGAAATGTATTTTTCTCTTTTTTTTGAGCAGTCACGAGGCTGGCTGGAGTGAAGTTTTTTTATGTAAGTGATAAGATACTGTTTTGGTCTGATAAAATAAGTCAGAATATGACGCACCACGCATATGCAAAAAATTACGACATATTGTCATAATATAACAAAAGATGAGTTTTTCTTTTGCAATAAATAAAAGTTTGGATGGTTGGGTTTTTTGCATATGAGATTAGATTTGACACCTTACTTTTTAATCTATTAGAGTCATGCTTTTTCTATTTATGAACATCATTAGTATTGCTTAATGTATTTCATAAATGTAGCGTTGAACTGGATTCCGTGTCATTGTTGTTCTTTTCTATTTTCTTAATAATGTTAAACTTTGTTGGCATTAAAAGGGGTTCATATTTCTTGCGAATGTAAACGAACGGAATAGTTTTGTTCGCTTAAGTAGTTTATTATTTTATTTATTTAAACGCATAAAAACTTGGTACAATATGGCACCAAGAAGGATGCGCCACACATTATTAATAAAACAACAGATCAAAAGAAAGAAGACAAAGAATATATAAGTAGAGAACGGATAAAGAACTTCATCTGGAAGGAAAACAGTCATGCTTAACATATCCAAACAGTATTCGTTAACTATCATCCGGAAGGGAAGAAAGAAGGAAATTGCAACACGTGTAGTAGCACGCGATAAGTTTCATTGATTGTTTGTTGCTTCATTCGATTCATTGTGTGAGGGCTGAGATACTGACCGGGCGCCCAAACCGAAGCAGGTGGTTTTATCAAGGGACCACCTTGCGAGCCTTTGACTTAGAGTCTAATCCGCAAGGCAGCAGAGCAGCGTCAGGAGCTGCATTCCCATGGTTCCCGGTGACCCATATGGGTTCATATGCCATTTGATCCGATTGGATACTGGAGCCAATGTACCCCATGGTAACTGCTATTAGTTTAACCGCTATCCAAACAACCTTCCTGACATTGTAGGACCTGCAGGGACTGAGTCCCAGTCAGTTTTGCATGTTGGGTCATAACAGTATTCATGCCCGACCACCACGACAAGGTAGAAGTTATCGACCGGCGCTTAAGTAGTAGCATCAGCCAGTTTGAGTAAAACTGTTTATAAGGAATGCTCGACAAGACTATATCTTGGTTGGAAACAATTGGTGACATAGCTCAAAATCGTTCTCAGTGGCGCAGATGCATCCACTCCTTGTGACTTATGATCTCCAATGAAACTGTTTTGTATTTCTTTATTACTCCTTTGTCTCACACCTCTGCTCACTGTTTCTATTACGCTTTTCTTGTACTTTCTTCTCTTGCTTCGCGTGCTACACGGAGTGTGGCGACTTGAACTTCCGCACATATGTGCAAAGTTGTATGTCGTAAACAGACAGAGGCAGAGAGACATATCTTTCTAAATAGACAAGTTCTGAACTGTTTGAAAGGACACGTCATGAATATGGAGCTCAATCATTTGAGCTGTTGGGTTTTGCACTAAGGCTCAAGGACACAGGATTATTAAATCTACATTGCAGTGCATTGGAGGATGCATGATTCGTTCAATAACTATGGTTGTTATAAGCGTAGTTAGAA